AATCTATCTATTTTGATTTGTTATTTTTAAACATGAGAGTAATGTGATTATTGAAAAATACAAAAATGAATAGCTGTAATAGAGTCGCTGATATTTTAATAATAATTTTTTTTACAGAATATTCCATAAACGATGTCACTAAAAATAGGGATTAAATAACAATTCAAGATATTTTCCGTGTCTCCTAATTCGGCCCTGTACAGTTTCTCTGTATCGCGTAGGTGGAGTCGATTGCTACGGATGTAGTAGCAATCAGTCCAAGTTGAAAAGGCTCGCTACGGTAGTGCTACGCTTCTGGCGCTTCGTTTTTTAGTAAGTGTTCATTTAAAATAATTGAATTAAATTTAAAAAAAATCATATAAAATATTATAAAGCAATGAGTGTGTTTTTAACGTATACGGTTGAATCAAAAAGATTCTATAAGCGGTTTAAAATATTATTATTATGTAACACTGTGATTTCTGTGGGGTTGTTTTAATGATGTGTGGTTTATAGCGGTTTATAGCGCATGGAAAAGCTTTGTGAACGACAAAATTACCGTAAAATAAATTTATGGACAATTATTTTATTTACTTGTTGATTTTGAATGTTTGATAAGTGAATTTTATCTCAGTATTTTGATTTGCCATTATTTAAACATGAAAATCATGTGGTTATATATGGTTGTCAATAATTGTCAGCGAAAATTGCTGATATAAAACTTGGTAGTCGTATACAAATTCGATTTATTTATCAATAATATTTATTAACAAAACTAAATGGAAAAATGGTTTTAATTATTAAATAATATTCTTGACTAAAAATACATATAAAATAACTTCTACTACATAATATCAAAATTTGCGAAAATCAATTTGCGAATTAACTAGTTAACTGTGATTGACGAATATATTCGTGGCAGAATTTTATGTATTGACGAGTATACTCGTCATGCGTATAAAACAGTGACTCTTTGCTGTTTAAATTGCCTTTTCTGAAAAAAACAAAATTTAGTCTGAAATGTCAAGATGTTTAGAATACTTTGAGGCTATGATTGTATAAAATGAGAAGTCGTAAGTGTCATTTTTTATGAGGCAAGTTGCTCGAAATGTCTAAATAATATACTTAATCAACAACAACATTGAGATTATTGACTATTGAAGTTACTTTGAAACTTACTTGGAAAATAGCTTTTGTTCGTCAAAAACTATACTTACTTTCATCAAAATTCATCAAAAACTATGCTTACATCATTTTTGAATTCACATGTATATATTTTTTT